ATATTTAGAAATAGATATGTTAAATTTAAAAAAAGTTTATTATTAACAGGGTTCCCACGMGTCCTTGAAATCCTTGAAAGTTTGTGAATTTAAAATTATTTGAAGGACAAAACAGCCAAAAAATTACATTTGTCCTTGAAAGTCCTTGAATGTTTTTTTTTTTTGGGATTGAAATTCTCTATTCACTCGACTGATTTCATCATCTTTAAAAAAAATAAATTATAAAATTAAATAAAAAAAACGTACATTTGTTGCAGTGGATAACTAAGGATTACGGTAAACTGACGTCATTGTTTCTGACTCAACAACTTCTATGTTGTTCAGTTTTTCATTGAATTTACATGATATTGAACCTGTTTATTGGTAACATTCTGCTGCAGCAGTAGGTAACTGCCATTGCACGTGGTTCTTTAATTTGAGGAAATTGGTACTGGAAAGTCCTTGAAATAGATGTTGACCAAGGTGTGGGAACCCTGTATTAAAAAAAAAACAACACACAGAAAGTACTGAAAATGGGTACCGTTACCGATACCGATTCCCAGGTACCTGGATATTGGTACCGAATCAATTCAAATGTCAAAGGTACCCATCCCTTTAAGAAACACTTATAAATGTTGCAGATTTTTCTTTTTTCAGAAGTGTTATTTTCAGTTATCCATTTCTGTTGACAGTCTGTTCTTTATTTAGTAAATATAGTAAGTGTTGGTACCTGGGTGTATAAAAATGACCCCAAACCTTTTACAAATTCAGGAAATTACAGTTTAAAAAGTCTGGATTTCTAAATCAGGAAAGTTGTAGGAACACTTTCTGTTGGATCTGTTTCTGCTTCTCTGTCTTCATTTTACTGTTTTAATTTTAATTAAATTWAATTTTGTCTGTTGTCAGGGGGTGATGCATTGCTTGCGGGAAACTGCTAGGCTGGGTCCACTGGCATTTTACAAGGTAAAAAAACATTCCAGCTGTGGAAGATTTAAAAAAGACACCTGCACCAAATGAAACTCATCACTCTCTGGTAGCAGGAGCTGCTCTATAAATATACAATGAAGTCCTGATTTTTGAGGCAATTATGTTCTCAGAGTATCCATAAGGAGTGGAAAAAACACAAAAATTGGATGTGGTCCAGAAAAGACCTACAGCACTTATTAGATGGCATCATAATGCAGTAAGAACCAAACAAAAACACCAGAGCTAAACAGTTAGCAGCTACAGTTAGGAGCAATGCAGCGCTGAGCAGCTCTTCCTTCTGCGTCTCATTTTGTTGAAAAGGATCTTTTGTCGGAAGCTGGTTATTAAATCAGCAAGATGAGCAGCTGGTTTGATCCTCCTGAATGCATGAGCATGTATGTGATGTTCACGTCTTTTTTTTCATCACCATTCTTAATAAGAAAAAAAGAGTTTTTCCTCCTAAAACCTTTCACCCAACAACTACGTAGGC